GTGTAGCGGTGAAATCTTAAATTCTCTTCTAATTTGTTCATGTATATCATTGCTAAAAGAGATTAAAGCGGCGATCCCATGTGAAGTCCAAATATTTGTTTATAGATGTTCCCGTTGAATGGAAAATAGGTTGTCTTTATTGTCAAGTTGATTAGTCTTGTTAACGAGTCCCTACCGATCCGTTCTGATTCCAGGATATCCTTCTCTCGGTCCAGGCTTTCCAGCAGGGCCTTTAGTGCATTTTCTCCAAATATATTTGTATACATGAATTCTACATTACAACTTACTAATGCCATTTTTTTAATTTTTTGATAACATTCATATGAATGCGACCTTATCGAGGACCACACCATCTTGGTCTTCATATCTTTTTATTTCGTTTTTATTCGTTTTTTAAATGCTAAATCTTCCTAATTTAGTCCTTTCGGATGAGATCCTTCTAGAAGCTATTCCCGGTCAGCTACGTAGTGCTGACAGTTTTATCGCCTTCCTCCGTCGTCTCCTCGAATATGTAAAGCTTCGGCTGCGAATTGCTCACGTCGTCCATGAGACGCCCATTGCCTTCCTCCAGGATTGCCTCTCCAAGGTCTGCATTGATCGCAGGCCTCTTAGGTAGTCCCTATTAACTCACAAATATTTTAATACCACTTTATTTCTCCCGCTTTTTTCAGAAAATCGGCTCCTAAAATCTTTTATACATCAGCTCTGGCTCATTTCGATTTGAATTTATATTTTCTCGTTTTGCTTGCCTATTTGTTTTTTTCTGTTAGAGATTTCGTACATTTTTATTGGGTATCTTATTATTTTTCAAAAGTTTGACAAAAATTTCCTAGACACAGTATAAGCAATTTAGACGTTTGCTTATGGATTTATGTTTCATAATATTATGATTGCCTATTAACAGTAACCATTTTTAGAGGCATTGTCTATGTCTTAGGCTTTCTTATCAGTGGATATGCCCTTATAACTCAACATTAGAATCTTTGAAAATCTTGTTATAAGATGAATTGATCTCCTCTTAATGAGACTCAAATTTTGGGGAGTGATTTATTCAAAAATTTATATCCAAATGCTATTCATGTCCTTTATTTTTTGGGGTTTTTTGGACAAATGCATTATATCGGCTACTGTATCCTTGCCTGTTTAAGTCGTTGTTCTAGTTCAATCTATTTTAGGCTTAAATGGCTCAAATTTCTTAAAACTTGTTAAAAATTGGTATATTTCTT